TAGTATCTTAACGATTTGATTAGAGCTCAGTTGCTTATTTGCCTGAACTAGGTAGAACCTGTGTTTCAGACTATTCAGTACAATATTTTTTATTTTAAAGTTATAAATAAATTAACAGTATAAAGTACTAAAATAAATCTTACATAACATAAAAGTAAAAGGTAAAAACAGCGAGTTAGCAGATTATCTGTCGACCAACAGTAAGTCTTCAGTCTGCGCATATGCAGTATTACGCAAGAACGCAATAACAGTTTTTTTACAATTAAAATAGTTTAATGTAAAAACGCTTAATTTTCTATTTAACCTATTGTACAAAAGTGGACCTAAAAATGAAAAGAATCTTTCGGCAAAAACATTTCTAGTTGCATTGGAACTGCATACTATATCATTCCGTCTCTTATTAGTATTGTTAGCATTGTATGAGAGCATAGTATGCTGCTTTAATACTACTTGTAAAATGAAGAGCTGGCGGACTGTTAGTACGTTACAAAATTTATATAGTTGATCTGTGGGATAGAAATAGGGATGGAAGTTTGCAACCTTTAAAATAGCTCTCTGAGCTCTTTCAAGAGGAAGCAAGATAGTTTTTGAAGCACCGCCCCATGATATTATACAGTATTGAACTACAGATTGACATAAAGCCAAATAAACCTGAGTGATTAGTTTTGAATCAGCAAAAGTTCGAATTCTTTTAAAGACATATATAAGCTTGCGCACTCTTTTTACAAGACTTTGAATATGATGTCTAAAAGTGAGTGTGTCATCAATTATTACCCCAAGATATTTGATGTTACGGGAATTGAGGATAAGAGGACAATCACACATGTGGACTGAGATGTTATTACATTGATGAGCGTATAAGTGAAAGTTATCAGTGATGGGTTGAGGTTTTCGCATAGAAAAGTGTACATATTTAGTTTTGTCAGCATTTAATGTTAGTAAATTGCTTTGAAGCCAGTTAGTCACAGTATTGAAACCTATTTGAGCATGTTCTTGCAATTCGCCAATGGTTTTAGCCGTAAAAATTAACGCTGTGTCGTCAGCATAAGATATAACTTTGCAGTGTCCAATATTAAGGTTACACAAGTCGTTAATGTAGACTAGAAAAAGCGTGGGACCCAAAACACTGCCCTGGGGAACTCCAAAACCAGTGTTCCGCTGTTCCTCGCTCGTGAAATTATCTATCCTAACGCATTGGTACCTGTTGTCTAGGTAATCAGAAAATAAAGACAGCGTCGTGCCGCGTATCCCAATGGCCTCTAATTTGTTAAGAAGCACTGGGATAGAGACTGTGTCAAACGCTTTCGCTAAATCAAGGAAGACTCCCAGGACCTGATTTCCTTTGTCTAGTTCTTTCGAAACATATTCGGTTAGATTATACACTGCATCAGCGGTAGATAACCTGGCTCTGAAACCAAATTGTGCTGACGACAGCAAGCTATTTTTCTCTAAAAAGTTGATTAGCCTGTTGTTAATTAATTTCTCAAGTATCTTTGACATTGAGGGAAGTACCGATATTGGCCTATAATTATTAATCAAATCTCGGTTTCCAGATTTATAGACAGGGATGACGATTGCCTTTTTCAGACAACTAGGGAACACTCCTTTGGTAAGGCAGAGTCGAAATATATGCGTTAAGAGAGGTACAAATATATGTTTAAAGAGCTTTAAAATATTATTGCTTATATTATCCCAACCCACTGCACAGTCGTTTTTTAGGCCAGATATGATACTTGTAATTTCGTTCTCATCTGTATCTAGCATAAAAAATGATTTTAGGGTGCTGTTGGTTTTTAGTTTTTGGATACAATGTTTCGGAACTTTCTCGGCTAAATTTTTCCCAACATTCACAAAAAAGTTATTTACTTTGTTTGCGGACAAGAGAGGTGAAGGATCAGTTAACAATAGACTAGAATTTGATTCACGTTGCTTAGTCATGAAGGTGACATTTTTAATATGTTTCCAAAGTTGTTTGCTATTTTTGCCTGCTTTATCCAACTCAGTTCTGTCGTAATTATTTTTCAGCTTCTTAAGGAGATTATTGCAGAAATTCCTGTAACGTTTATAGGTGTTTAGAATTATTAAGTTATTAGGATAATTCTTAGTTTTTTGATGAAGTTTATCTCGGTGTCTAATGCACCTAATTAGTCCAGGTGTAATCCAAGGTTTAATATTACGAAGACGATTATTTATTGTCACTGTTGTAGTATTACGCAATATCGCATGCTGGACATTTTTTATTAAGTACGACAAGGCTGAATTAGCGTCAGCAGTTTTGTAAACTGGGTTGTAGTCGATGTTACGTAAATCATATTCGAGTCCGTTTATGTTTAATTTAGTCTTGGTAGGTAGAGGATTTAGCTTAGGTAGCGTTAAATTTATGTTTAGTAGGACAGCATGATGATCGGTTATTGTTGAGTTAGTAACAAGCGTATAATATGAAAAGTTGGTTTTGACAAACATATGATCGAGACAGGAACCACTTTGATGAGTAGGCAATGTATGAGCGGGAAGCAGACCATGGTATGAGCATATATTAAGGTAATCTTGAATCCCTGCGTCGCAAGTTTCAGATCCAATGTTAATGTTAATATCGCCTGTGAGTATTACATTCTTATAATGGCTAAGTTGCTGAAAAATCTGGTTTATGGAACTGTGAAATGAGCTCAAGTTTCTAGAGGAAGGAGATCTATACATAGCAATTATCGCTGTGGTTGTACCAATTTTGATTATGAGACAGTTACTCGTGCAATCGGGAAGACTAAGTTCTTCGACATTGACCTTTAATGACTCCTTTGCAAACACAATAACCCCATCATTTTGATTGTGGTTTACTTTAGTGTAAAATAAATTATATCCTGGTATTTCCGGGAGGTTATCGTAGCGATTTGCCAACCAGCATTCTGTTAGAACCATAATATCGCAATCAAAGTTCAGTCGATGAAGAAAAATGTTGAAGCTATCTACGTTTCTATAAATACTACGGATGTTTTGTGTTAGTATAGTTAGTGACTTTGAATACTTAGAAAGATATTGTTTGCAGTCCTCAACCTCACATGACTTTGACTCAGCTGAAAATGCATCATCTATTTCGCTAATTAAGTTAATATCCATTTAAAAGTAGCTAACAACAATCAATTACTTACGGCTAAGCTATACACTAATATGTGGCGCTCTTAGGCGCCTTCATAATCATAGTCTATTGAGTTAATATATCTAAATTCGGCGGCTATTTTACCTGGACATACTGCGTCTCCCGTCTTATGGTTAGCTAGTTTCTTAAAGTGCAAACATGTGGCACATTTTGGGTCAGCGTCTTTCTTTGGACAGTCTTTGCCGGAGTGTCCCTCTTCACCGCAATGTCCACACGTTGGGGTAGAGATTTTGCACGTCTTGGCTGCGTGACCGTACTGCTGGCAGTTGTAGCATCAGCATCAGCATAATGAATTGGCTGTACAAGTGTACATACATTGTTAGCTGATTGATTTATTTATTACTAGCTTTTACCCGCGGCTTCGCACGTTTCACAAAAAGATAAAAAGCCTATGTGACATATGCTAAAACATACAGCGCCATCTATACCAATAATTTCGTTTTCTCTCGAGAATACCAAATTTTTCCGGGATAAAAAGTACCCTATTATTTAATCCAGACTTTTACGTCTGCAAAAATTCAAAGCAATCGGTTCAGTAGTTACAGCGTTAAAGCGGAACAAACAAACAAACTCACTTTCCGATTTATAATATTAGTAAGGATTTGCGTTATTATTGCGGTTATGATCCAAGAAACGAGTATCTAAGTAGAAGTGCAATACTTTCCACCATTAGTAAAGTAATTTAACTAAAGAGGATAGATTGCAACTGATTAGTTACTATTCATTGGGAACAATACCCTAACAAAACCAACCACTATCCAGATAAAAACACTAAACAAAGCAAATAAATAAATATCGAGCCTGTTAACAAAACGACAATAGACATCGCGGAGACGCTGAAAAACGGCCATGGTTAGCTCTTAAACATTGTTATAGGACTTCCTTCAAGTTAGAAAGAGATAGAACATCTTCATGACCTTTTCGTGACTCAGACGTCCGTTTGAACTTGCTCCCAGACCTTCGCCATGACCTTGGAGCGATGACGTCATCTCGTTACGTCACACATCTCGATCTAATGAGGACGTGTGATGATGTAGATAGGTACCTACTACATATATTTGCAGATGCTCACTCCATGTTTTGATTGGTAATCTGCGTTGTAAACTGTGATAATGAGAATCACGTGGTTTTTGTATGTTGTTTGTAGCTAAATACTTACCATGTGATTGCAACTCATACTGCTACCTTGAGTATTTATCAGCTCACGCTTATCTCCCATGGGGGTAGGCAGAGACTATGGAACGCCAATTGAGTCCACAATTTTTTGGTTGAAATATCTCGGAGGTTCAGGTGGTCGTTTCTTAAGCATCAGCTGTTTTTAGGGACAATTTACAGGTTGATGTTGATTGATCAATACCACCAGACCACTTTAAAGTATTCCTAAATCTTAATTGAGCTTATGTACTGAATCTGAATATGTATTTCGTTCCAGATTTTGCAGCAACCACGGCAACAAATGTACTCGCCCGGGAGACGTGCCCGCAGCTCTCATGTGCGTCGCAGAAGCAATGATGCCGCGACTCATTCTTCGTTTGCTACAACATTTTAGAGAGAACAGGTAAATTCCTACCATGTACATAACGAATACCTAATTAGCTAAAAATACTTGTGGGGAGTCCCAGATATATCTTATTTACATATACAATTAACTTCCTTATCGGCGCAGCTTCATTTGCATTGAAAAATAATTGGGTTCATTCATGTCAATGGCAATTTTGCCAATTTCATAAGCACCACTGACAAATGTCAACTATTGGGGGCTTACTCTTGAATCCAATTCCGACCGATCGACATTGATATTGTGAAATTTCGTACTCTTGAGTTGTAACATTAACGCCCATTGCATCCGAATTGCGTGGATATTGAATGAACTAAATGGTATTGAGTTTGGCTTTATTTTCCGTACTCTGAATGCTATTTTAACAACTACGATAGGGGTTGTATAGTGTTGACATTGAATAATTATTGGATTGAAACTGCATTGACATTGAGATTGGTTTCAAGAGTAAGCACCCTGATGCTGATCTCTATTGCTAAGTAGTTGTAAACAGTAGGTATAAATTGCTTTTATCGAGGTATGCCACCCGAAAAAGCAACAATTGTGATCAAAGAACTACTCCCCAACATATTATAATATCACACACTTCAGTTTCAAATGAAATCCCTATACACTGAAATAGTCGCGGAGAACCTAACGGGTAACCGGGGCTCCGGCTCGACGTGCAGGAGAAGGAACGGGGTGGTTTTTAGTCAGTCAGAGTCTGACACTCCCTCCCGCCTCACCCAGGCGGGAGCAGTCATTCGATGATTTTCCCCCCTTAAAAAAAAATACGCTGAAATAATAATATAATCTAGGCGTAGATTAAGACAGCTGGAGATATGATAATTTTATGCACAAGCACAGTTAAAGCTTTAAAAATAACGTCTTACAGAATTTTATGGTATTAGAAGTAAAAAACATAACATTTTTACGCAAATTAAGTCGGTATCCATGATCGGCTCAACTGTTACAAAATTAACCGTTCCAGTGATTTGTGAAGCCACTCGTGTACTTGTAGGGTTTCTGACGGCAGCCGAGTTACTCAAGTATTTATAGTTTCACGTTCAGCATTCTGATGTAACCTAGGACTGGTTTTATGACATGAATTAGGTCAAGACTTAGTGCTTGTCTAAGGTTGGCTATCTAACGGTACATATGGGTCATTTGAATTAATGGCCGTTTTAATGTGAAGACACAGGTATTTATTGAACACATAACATCACGCCTTTTATCCCCGAAGGGGTATGTAAAGGTGCACATTACGACACTTACTGCCACTGTGCAATATAACACCCACTTTTCACTATTTATGTTATGAGTCCCATGTAATAGGGGGTCAGCCTATTGCCATATACCGGGCACATTTCCAGGCTCCGTGCTACTACTGAGATTTTTTTAAAACCCAGTAATACTTTGCCCGACCCGGGAATCGAAACCGAGACCTCTTGACCAGCAGTCGCACTTGCGCCCACTCGGCCAACGAGGCAGTATTTATTGAATGCAACATAAAATAAAACTTAACTGAATATTGGCCAATCTGATCAACTTAAACCAATAACAGATTTAAATGGTACTTGAGCAAATCTCTCGACTTTTTAATAAGCTATTATTTTCTGAGTATTTTTGTTTTATTTCGGCACTTCAAACATTACTCTTAGAGTTGAATTAATCTTCAGACAAATTCTAATATTTAATCCACTACTCGTATAAATAAAGATAAATATGATTGACTGTAGTTGGATGTGCTGTATAAAAATCTGTATTTAATGCGAGAGATAAGTATTATAATTATAGCCTGAGATAATATAACCTACACTAGGTCCCGGTAATTTCAGGACCCCATAGTAGAAGTTAGTTGAGTAGTGATTAAATCTTAATAAACTAGTAGGTAATTAACGAATATGCTCTATATTATCCTCAGTTGCGGCTCACAGACGACGTCAGATAGCTACAGGATCACAGTGCAGGAGTGCGAGGGCTACGTCAAGATGCTGATGGAGTTCAACAACATGGGCGACCTAATGCGCTCCGCCATGACCAAGGCGCTTATTAACCCACAGGTGTGTACCAAAATAATTGAATTTTTGCTTTAGTTTTAGTTATTTTACGCTTAATCCTATGAGGATATAGGAATTTGTTTTGTTTGTCTACATTAACCTGTATAGCTCTGTACAAAATCTGTATTTTTTATGAAGAGACAAAAATTTTAACTTGTTGATATGTGGTTGATGGTCACTCATTCATAATGGTGTTCCCAATATGCGTAAGGTTTCGATTCCATTACAGGAACCTATTGAACAGTCCTATAATCAACATGAAATTCTTGTTCCAGATGTACCGCAACCTGGTGGAGCCACCGTTCCCAGACACAGAGTACGGCTGCTACATGGCAGAATCCAATAAGATGTATGAGAAAGCGCTAGAAATGTTCCCGGCGCCAGAACCGCCTGACGAGTGAGTCCTATTTACTTTCTTATATTCTATACTTTGAAAGGATTTCTATAAACGCCTTATTACTAAGTTACTATTGGGCGTTCTTATTTGACGAATCAAGCACATTAAAATATTTTGTTCCCAGGTATCGTCATTTACCAGCTCTAGCCCCCCGGCTGCAACACAACACACTGCTGGACGAGTTCATATTCTGGACGTTCAAGTACGAGTTCCCGCAGAACGTGGTGTGCTTCCTGCTGAACATGCTCCCCGACCAGGACTACAAGGAGCACCTGACGCGCACCTTCGTGCTGCACTACGCGCGCATCCCGCTGGTGCTGGAGGAGGCGGCCGACCCCGACACGCTCAGTAACCGCGTCGTGCACATGTCCGTGCAGCTGTTCTCCAACGAGGCGCTGGCGCTGCGCTGCGTGCAGCAGCTGCACCTGCTGCACGTCATGGTGCTGTCGCTGCGCCTCATGATGGGCAAGATCCTCGTGCAGAACTCGCTGCACGACCCCGAGCACAACTTCCACTACGTCATCGACTGCACGCGCCGCGTCATGAAGGAGCACTGCTACTGGCCGCTCGTGTCGGACTTCAACAACGTGCTGTCGCACAAGAGCGTGGCGCTGCTGTTCCTGCAGGACGACGCGCTCGTGGACATGTGGTTCGAGTTCCTGTCCATGCTGCAGGGCATGAACGTCAACGTGCGCGAGGTGGGCGGCCACATCGAGTTCGAGCCGTCGTCGTACTACGCGGCCTTCTCGTGCGAGCTGGAGGCGGCGGCCTACCCCATGTGGTCGGTGCTGTCGCACCTGACGGAGCCGGCGCACGGCCCGCTGGCGCGCCGCATGCTGGCCGCCGCGCTCACCTACCTGCAGGACTGGCTCGACGCCGTGCACTTCACCGCGCCGCACATGGAGCGGGTACCTTCCCACCTTCATACTTCAAATTACTTGTAGCGCGTAAGCCAGGCACTAATTTTCTTCAATCAGTGCCTAAAATGCTTGACAGAATTGGATCCTGTAGGAAGAGGTCTTTTCTCGGCAGTAAGATACAAACTAATGGTGATGATGATAATAGTGATGTCAAATTAATAAGGTTTGGAGTCTATCTAATGGGCAAGGGTGGTCGAGCGAACTCTTCAACGATTTGATGCTTCCGACTGCCTCCTACGTTGCACTTTTTAGGTATCGAGTGACGAGTTTTCCACCCAAATATAACCGACTGACGATTTTATTTAATAACAGTAATACATAAACTGTCAGCTGACACATTTTTGGGCGAGAGGAAGTCACTGAAAACATTTGTTTTACATGTTCATGTAACCAGCTGATATGTAATCACTGTATTACCAGCTGATGCTTTTCTTCCTTAAAAATTTACTATCAATGTTTTTTTTTTAATATTTGACGGGCCGACGCCTGACCACCGACTCGCCTGGTGGTAAGCGATGATGCGGTCTATGATGAAGCACGTCGTCCCATAAGCAACTTATTCACTTGGGCCTTGAAGACTGCAGGAAACACAGACTCTGGCAAAGAATTCCACTCCTTAGCAGTACGCATAAGGAAGTTTGATGCGAAGCGGTTCGTTGACGACGTCCCCGTCTACCACGAATCGATGACGCTTCGCCGATTGTCTTGTGGTACGATGGTGGAAAGGACTAGGAGAATCAAGTTGTGCAATTCCTCCGCACACTCACCGAAATGTATCCGGTAGAAAGCCGACCGGATTGTAACCTTAAACCTGTGTTCGAGGCTTTGAAGCCGAGCCTCCACAAGCCCATCATCGTTTATGAGCCTCGTGGCACGCCTCTCAATGTGCTCTAACGCGTCCAGCTGATATTTAGCCGAGCCGTCCCAAAGATGAGTAGTACTCCATACAGGACCGAACCTTTGCTTGGTACAGCAGGCTCAGTAATTGTTTCGCCGCGAAGTACCGTCTCACCCTCCTTATACCCAACTTTCTACCAGCCAGTTGCGCTTTTGACTCTATATAGGAACCAAAGTTGAGAAATTGAGTGTGGGCGTGAGTTACGCCAAGAAGCTCAAGATGTACAGTTATCGGAACGGATACATTCAGGAAAGTAGGAGTAAGCGGAAATTGACTCCGTTTGAAGTAGAATAAACACGCCTGGGTTTTGCTAGCGTTAAACTTGACCAAGTTGGCATCACCCCAGTCGAAGACCTTCAAGGACGAGTTCAAACGCTCGACCATGGATTCTCTTAGAGACCGGATCTGTGTTCCGCTAGTCCGCGCATCGGACACATACCTTTCAACAACTGTGCTGTCTTTAGGCATATCCTAAGATACACGGCTTAGCATGTCGTCTATAAATTAAATGAGTTTTCAATCGCGAGGAAATAACGAAAAGAAAGAAAGGTTATTATGACATGTCTCGGCAGGTTCCACTGCTTAACCCGTAACTTACGTCCACAGCAGTTACGGATACAACTCTGTCAAGCATTTTACAAGTTATCGACTGAGAGGAAATTGGTTACTAAAATCTGTTGTTGTTTTACGGGTTTTCCTCAACAACGAATGTGTTTTTTGTTGACGTTGGCTGATGATATCGTGTTCTGACAGACGGAGGTGATGCAGGCGTCGTTCCACTTCCCGCTGCACCGCTACCTGGCCGCGTTCCTATGCGCGGGCGTGCGCTGCATGGGGCTGCGCGCCGCCGACGTGCTGCCGCCGCCCGACCTGCTGGCGCTGCTGGCCGTGCATCCGCTGCGCGTGCAGGTACATACCCACTACTATACACTAGCCCACGCTGCGCGCGCTGCATGGGGCTGCGCGCCGCCGACGTGCTGCCGCCGCCCGACCTGCTGGCGCTGCTGGCCGTGCATCCGCTGCGCGTGCAGGTACATACCCACTACTATACACTAGCCCACGCTGCGCGCGCTGCATGGGGCTGCGCGCCGCCGACGTAATTGAGCCTCCGGTAACCTCACTCATACGACGAAACGCAACGCAAGCGTTTCTTCACGTCGTTTTTCTGTGAGGCCGTGGTATCACTCCGATCGAGTCGGCCGATTAGTGCCGAAGCTTGGCACTCACTCGTAATTTTACAAGAAACTCCATTTATTAGAATAAACATGTCGTCATACTACAGGTATTTACACCTTTGCATGTAGCTAATGTATAAGCCCAACAGGTAAGTCGCATGAAACTATCCGTGCATTGTTTGACTCATATACAGGTACTACGTAGACCTTCACTTTTACCCTCGGTTAAAAAATATTTATTATACTATTCTTAATAATACAATTTTACGAGTTTCAACACATAACCGTATTTACTACGCAAACGTATTTTCACAAATTCCCTGTAAATAACGACGGCAGATATCAATACAACGAATTTAATACTATAGTTAGATCACATCTAGAAACACAACACGTAAGTCACTAATCGATAAACTAAACAATAACGTAACGCGTATCATTGTTGTTTTCCAAGGCCTAGATTATAATTATATTCCTACTAGCTTTTACCCGCGGCTTCGCTCGCGTCACAAAAGGATAAAAAGTAGCCTATGTGACATATAACAATACACACAGCGCCATCTATACCAATACTTTTGTGTTCCCTCGAGAATATCAAATTTTTCCGGGATAAAAAGTACTCTTTTATTTAATCCGGACTTCTAACTTTACGTCTGCAAAAATTCAAAATAATCGGTTTAGTAGTTACGGCGTGAAAGCGGAACAAACAAACTCACTTTCAGATTTATAATATTAGTAAGGATAAGGCGGGAGACTTGACGAGTTACCGGGACTCCGGCTCAAGGAGCAGAGTAGGAACGGGGTGGTTTTTAGTCAGTAAGTCTGACACTCTCTCTCGCCTCACCTAAGACGAGAGACGTCATTGGAAGATTGTCTCCCCTAAAGAAGGCCTAGACTAAAGTGCATATACATACATACATTTCTACATTGCTAGGTATGTCACCTCATACTTTACGTGAAAATATTTCCATAATTATTAGGTCTATTAATTATAAATACGTAACTATTAAATAAACAATCTCTAATTAACTCGTCGAGTACCGGTTTTGTAGACACAATTATAGAACAATAGGTTGCGGTCACCGGTGACCGCTTGGTGTTTGACAGTTTAATTAGTTTATGTTAGTTTCCATAACGAATAATAAAACAGATTGTTTCTGAGACAAGTAAGAAGAAGGAAGAAATTAAGTAGATAGTTGGCTGTTAAGAAACCACTAAGTAACTTACACACTACGCCAAGGACTAGTTCGGTGCGTCATAGAAGTGAATGAATAACAAAGACCAGCCCGTACCTTATAATATTTATTGTTCATATTTGGAGTTGTATGTAGACTAGAAAACTGGAGATAAACGATCTATTTTCTATCGAGACGGTACGTACCAAACAAGATTACATTACTTGTAAAATACTCACTGGAATGATAAGACGTATAAACTAGATTTTTATTTTAAAGTAAATATAGTTATCATTCCATACGGCGAATACAGTTTCCATGAACTAAAATGTTTATGCAAAATATCAATGTTTACCTCCATCTGCCACACTCGTGAATGTAAACAGCCGACGTAATGTTATCTTGTTTGATATTAACATCCCTTTTGTACATACTCTACCATTGTACGCATACCATTTATTTAATACGAAATAAAACTCAGTACAAGACTTAAAAAATACGTATTATCAAAAGTCACAATTACGCTACATTACAAAATAAAATGAGTATATGAAATTGAAATCTATTCTAGTTGACGATAGGCACAAATTCAGTTGTCTCCGATTCATCAACGAACTCTGACGGTGGTGGTTCTGCTTTCACGTGTTTGGAGTAGTCGTAGGTGATCACTTTCACACCGATGAAGCCGCCAGAGCCGCGAGCTCCTCTGTGGTATAGCCCAGCACCGCTCAGTAAAGTAGCGCCTTTGGTATTGAGGGCTGGAAAGAACATTCGCAGAGTCATTCAAACTATCCAAACCAAACTTGTGTTCTAGAACCAAATGTTAGATAGTTACCTTTCGAAGGTACCACAGGCTGCACGTCAATGAAGGGCACGGTGCTCTGTGCCGCGTCTGCGTCGAAGTCTGAGTGCGTGAACTCAATGTACTGGTCGTGCTGCGAGTCTATACGCAGCGCTGTATGGGAGCGTGTCGGGAGGTCCGGCTTGTACAGCTCTAGACGTGTCCTGGAATTTTACAAAATATGCTTTAGTTCAGAGCGAATGCTTTAAAGATTGTTTTATACACTACATGGAAGCAGAAAATATTAGATTCCTTGGTGGTTTCATATCAATATGATATTCCAACATCATCTTCAATTGTGCTTCTTACCTCGGTGTGTGTGATCCTTCAGTGTTGTCGTTACTGATCCATTGGCTCTTCTCTGGGTGAAGTTTTCCTGTCGTGTAGTTGAACGGAGTGGCTCGAATCTCAAAGTGTAGATGGGCTCCGATCATTCGGAATCTATAAAACGAATCGTTTACATAAACTTTCTTTACAATCATAACTAGGGGATATTTTTGTTGGTAATATCATCTCACCTGGCTCCAGTTAAAACGTGTCCGGAAGGTGAATCCAACTCATCCAAGTCAATAGCTCTCCTCTCGTAGGTCAGCGTGTGGTAGTCCACACCCTCCAGCACTCCAGCCTGCTCGGGGTCGAACGCTTGTGCCAGCACCTCTTCCGAGGATTCCACGAACCCTCGTTCAACCAGTTTGCCTTGATAGATCTGGATGTGGAACACTTTTCCAAGTTTCACCAGTCGCATTCCTGTTACTACCCTGGAACATAAATTTGATGTTAGTGCGGTCCTTAAGTATGCAAGAATGAGATCACCCGCACCCATGCTGTTAACACTAGAGAGAATGTCAGTAGGTAGAATGAGACACGGAATATTAGGCATAATCGGTACACTGCGTTTTCAATTATTTCTGTAAGCCGTATTTACAACGTAAGCCAATGAAGTGACATAATACTGATTTTATAGTCCCGTGTTAGTTACGCTTCCCCGAGTACTGACTTGTTTTCATTAATATCGGCCATCACTTCTCGTAAACTGAAGAAACGTTCAGCCACGCTGGCTTCGTCCTCGCATAGACATAAGCAATACGAGCAGTGTGTAAGTGTCCATCTCCACCAGGAGTCGACCTTTGAACGAAAAATTTTCATTATAATCTGATCAATTGGTTTATATGGGTATGAGGGGGGGAGTGTCCCTAAAAGTGTGCGGGTGACCCGGACATTTAAGGGACTAACTTGTTGTTGCTGATGTCCGCCGTCGCTTCCCGGAGACTGAAGAAGCGGTGGGAGCCGGTCGCGTCATCACAGAGGCACATGCAGTATGAACAGTGCCAGAATAGCCAACGCCACCACGAGTCCACCTGGACATAGCCACTGTATCGTAACACTAGCCTGGCAACTAGTACAAATTAAATTACATGCACACATACATCTAGTTAAAAATCATACATTCAGCTATGATTGATTCCCAGTAATTATACTTGCTCTTCAATAAAATCTATCCAAGTAATCGGTAAGAAGTCTTGCTATCGCGTTTGCTTTTTGATTTGTTTCCTTAATCGTCTGACCTTATTAACTGGTCTGCCACGCGGTAGATAAGCCGCGCAGTTTAATGATTGCTCTTCATAAGGCACAGTTGATACCAATATGCAAACATTATGTAAAGTGATGTGAGTATAATATAGTTAGTGTAAAGAGTTCTCACTTTGGTTATCCCGAGCTTGCAGCTGCCGACCCTGCCCAATGTGCGTCCGTTCTCATACTCGATCCATTCATACCGCCTCTGGCTGTGCCGACTCTGTAAAATTTAAGCCAACACATTTACTCTGATATCTATACAGTACTAGTCCGTTCGTGATGATTTATCGTGATTTGTTTATTTACAAACGAGGTCAGGGAGACTGCCACTACAGTTCGCTCTATAAAAGTAACAAACAATGTTAGGTTTTACTTCGTTTTAGGTACTTTGAACTTGTTTTTCCTCTTTGTCTGAATACGTAGCTTGATTATGTCGCATACTCGCATGTTTAATTATAACAACTGTACAATCAGTCTGGATAATTAAGATACAACGACACATCAATTAAACCAATTTAGTTTTACATGAGGTTTATCAACTGTAATATGTTGAGAAATTTCTTTGTTTATGTTTGAAATATACTAGTGTATTGTACAGGCGGGGCTAGTTTGAGGGACAAAGGCATCAGTTAAATTCAAGTATATAAGTTTCATGTGGTTGACTTACCGCAGGGCAGACCCACATGTCGGAGTCCAGGTACTGGCAGTCGATGATCCTGCCCCTGCATTTGTCCTGCTTGTCGCAGAACTGTTCCTTGTAGCAGCCGTGGTTCTCGGTGAGGGTGTAGAAGGCGCAGTTCTCCTTGCATGTGCCGTCGCTGTTCATGTCCACCTCGTTCTCCACGTAGCCTTGCAGCAGCCGTGTGACTTCGGCGTATGTCGCTGGAAATTGCATATTACTGATTAGGAACCATTGTCATAGTATAGTTTTACTTGACTCCCTCTTGTTTTGCCGGATTGCTGTTCTATCACATTATTACAGTGAGTGAGCAATACACACTTGTTCACTAGGATCTCTAGTTGGCTAACGATAGTTGACATCTTCCGTTATCGAAATCGGTTTGAAAGCTTTTATCACTGTTTATTGTCTGGTAGAATTTGGAAACCTCTTCAGACTATACGTTGCTTGTGATTGCTTAGTTGTTAGGTAAGGTACTCACCGCTAGTGTGGACTGGTGGGTCACACCTGTACAGGTCTCGCTTAGACATGGCCAGCGCTGCCCGCGCCGCCGTCGCAGTCTGGCCTGTCCTTTCGGAATACCTCT